GGGGGGGGGGGTGTTCGGGATGGGAGTGTTTGGGTTTTAGGGCCAGGGCCAAGAGGGGCTTTGCTGGCGGCGTGAAGTTGCGCTGTGTTGTTGAACATCAGTGCTTCTATTCTATCGAAATGCAAATCCAGAGAATCAGATCGATTTTTGAGCTCGGCGGCGAGGAGGTCGTGTAAGGACCGTATCTCATCGACTTGCTCTGTGAGTGAACGCTCCTGGAGTCTTGTTTCAACCATCGTACTAGGTCCGAGAACCGATGACTTCTGATACCAATGTAATAGCAAGGGTTAGAACAGAGTAACAACTAAACTAGAGTTCACCAAGAACTTAAGTATGAACCTTGCTTCTTTAAGCAGCCCAGAATGTCGACAATCAGAGAGAACCCCATAGAAAGTTACCTCATTTGGTTCAACTCCAGAATCAATCATCTCGTGGAAACACTGAATGGCTTCTTTGGCTCGTCCGTTTTGTCCACAACCAACAATTATCCATGTCCAAGACACGACATCTCTTTCCAACATACCATCAAATAACACAACACCATTGTCTATATTGCCACATTTCACATACATATCTATTAGTCCTGTCGCTGTGACTGGTTCTGTTTCATAACCTTTCTTTACACACAGCCCATGAATCTGCTTGCACCACCCAAGAGATGCTAAACTTGAACATGCTTTGAGAATACTCGAGATGATGAACTGGTCAGCATCAAGTCCCATCTTGATTAATTCCCGAAACAGATCAAACGCTGAAGAATAGCAAGCTGCTTTCACACAGCCTCTTATCAGGCCAGATAAAGCAATGATATCTTTATTTGAAAACTGATGAAACAGTCTATGCACATCTTGTACATTCCCAACGTTTAAGTGTAGATCAACAAGAATGCTTCCTATTATGTAATCCAAGTCATAAGTACCACTTATTATAACTAAACCATTTACCCGAAGCCCGAGTCTCCAGCTGATTACGTTTATGCATATCTTTAAAGCACCACTTAGAGTGTAGGAATCAAAACTCAAACCTGACTGAAACATCTGCAAATGTAATAGCAAGGGTTAGAACAGAGTAACAACCAAACTAGAGTTCACCAAGAACTTAAGTATGGACAAACCAAACCTAGAAAATGATCTAAGGAAGAGAGATCACCTTGAAGGAACAAGATTTGTATGAAGATATGAACTTTGCTCAGAGAGCGTAAGAGAGAGAAATGAAGATAAGATGATAGATATTATTCTGATTGATTCCGTGCAAAAGCAGTAAGGTCATACATAAGGACATTCAGCAATGGTCACATGACCCATTAGCTGGATAGATAAGGACAAAAACAAATAAGGACAAACCTCTTTTGTTTTAAATTGAAAATTGCAAATAAACCGAAAATGATAAAGTGAGATAACCCGATTTGGTAATGACAGTGTGTGAACCTGTCACAGCAAAAGCATCCCTAACGCCGCTTCGTTCTCATCGTTAATCAACAATCTAGAGAGCATAGAGTTCCAAACAAAGAACAAGGCTTTTCGCCATTGTAAATCGCCATGGAATAGCCACGACGATACGGCGGAGAAGACAAAGGAGAAAGAGAAAAGAAAACTGGAAAAAAAGGGACACTTTCAACTTTGATTTGTCCCATAAGGATTTCTAGAAAATGATCTGTTTTCCCTAATCTGTATGTTCTGTTCTTGTAAACAGAGCATATATACTTTAAATATACACATAACTGGTCATTCTTCTCTTCACTTCATCTCTTTGCTTTTTGCACAAAATATATGTATTTATTCAAACCCTTCTTGTAATTAGGTAATGCTACATATTCTCAAGAACGTGAGAAGAAACCTAAAAACTTTTAGGCTTCTTCAGTGGTGAGTTTCATTCAAACAACATCCTCAAAACCAATTCGGGCACTGTCGGAAACGGCTTCGTTCTCTTCATTCTTTAGTTCAACTTCAAGCGCAAGCAACACTTGTCTCTGTTCCACAATCATTCTATCGAGTTCTCTCATGTGTTCACCACGTGTTTCCATTTTATTCTTCTTCACGCAAAGCTCCTCCAGCTTCTTCTTCAACCAATCCAACTCAAAACCTACCCCTACCAGATCCAAAAGCGTGTTCTCAGCATCTACTAGTTCCTCCTCTGTTAGCTCCTGAGGAGCTGAGCAAGCTATATCTATGAGGTCGAGAAGGGTGTTCATGTACGCATTCTTCACCAACTGATTCTTTGGACGAAGATTTAAAGCTGTTTCTGGGTGTCTTTCAAAGATTCTCCTTACACATTCCACCTGAGAACGAGTTTGATGTATAAAGTGAACCAACTAAAGTGATTATTGTTTTGTTGTTCTTACCTCTGTGTAGTAAACTCGAAAGCCATTGATCTCAACTGTTCCATCACCATTCCACATTGACACGATCCGAGTTTCTTGTGATGCAGAGAAGAAGCTTTACTTGCAGATTAGGCAAATGGAGTTTTGTGTGCTGTGGATTGTTTTCATGTTAATGAAATATATATATAATAAAGAAGATGCATGCATCATTAATAATCTTGAGCTAATTGTAACTTAATAATACGTTGTTGTAAGTTATAACATGTGAATATTAATAGCGTCACGCGTCAAGCTACTTATTTGTAAAATGACTATACTTTGTTTTAATGTTCTACTAGATTATAACCCGCGCGGATGCGTGGATGTTATTTTAGTTTTATAAGTTAAATATTTAAGATTTGGTTGTATATATTGTATAATTCTATAACGTTGTTGTTTATGTAATTTATTATTATAATATTTTTTATATTTTGGTACTTAATACAGTTTTCTCAATGTTAGTCTATTTGTATAATATTGAGACAAAAAAAATAATGTAAATTATCATATAAAAATATCTTCATAATTTGGGAAGATTGGTCACTTATTCTATTTATATATTTCGTACTGTAAAAAAAAATGTATTACAATTATTTACCTATCTTGTAGTTTTGTTTATAAATTCAAACCCTTGTGTTTATATTAAATAAACCTTTGTTATTAGTTTAAAATTTTAGAATTATATGCCCCCAGAAACCAATTATAAAAAAAAAAGTTAATCAAATTACAATATGCCAATTACGTAAAATGATTTGGGCCACATTTTAATAATTGTAGGCATTTTTCTAAATGGCCCAAGATAATCAAGTTTTAATTTTTGGTGCAAAAGAAAAAAAAATGTCAAGAATATTAAGCAAAACCTGTCTGTAACTTTTGATCCAAAATTCAGGAAATTCTCTAGTGGTCGGCAGCTCAAGCGATCGATATCCCTAGCCATGTAACAAATCTGCTTTTATTTCTTGAAGCTTCTCTGAAAACTCTTACTTGCAATGTTTTAGTCTAAGAAACTTATACCTCAGCTCTAAGTTTGAACGGCTTCAATAAAGTGACATAAATCTGCTTTTCGGAAACCTCGAAGCCCTGCAAATAATTGTATTCTGGCTCCTAAAGTTTCGTATGTAATGAACATAGTTGGATCAACGGATATCACCGAACCAGAATGCATTTCTAACGAGAACCTCCACTTCTCAAGTGGGTGTAGCTAGCTAGCCATTAATTTATTTGTGCTTGCTAGTGCAGTAAGATATATGATCGAAAACTCATTACAACTTTCAAAGATGAACGATTTCAACAAATTTCAGTAAAAAAAAAAAGATGAATGATTTCATTTACAACTTAAAATAAGTGGCAAGATACTTGAGATGAACAATTTTATTTCTTGACCAATCTTCACCTTCGGATTCAGTAATGATCATTGTCTCTCTAGCCACATGTTCATGAACTAATATTAAGAAAAAAAAACAGACCAAAGATAGTTACACTACACACATCATGGTGATTACTTTTAAGACTTTTCTTGAACCTATTCATCACAATTTGGTATATATCTTCCTCAAAAGCTCAGGTTCACATATCTGGTATGTGCAAGCAATTTTCTAGTTTTGCTATTGCAGACTCTAACTGTTCCATGTGAGATATCAAACTAAGTCCCACATTGGAGAATTAGACAATGAGTGTCTAATATATAAAGAGAAGTCTAACTCTAGTAGTACGAGGCCTTTTGGGAAGGAAACCAAAAGTAAATCCATGCGGGCTTGTCAATTAGGCCCAAAGTGGACAATATCGTACTAATAAGAAAAAAATAAGAAAAAAATAGAGTTGGACATGAGCTTTAACAATTCTAACAATTGGTATCAGAGCGGTTGACGAGAAATCTGCAAGAAGACCAAAATACCCTTCGAGAGATGAGTGGGTACCCTTCGAGTTAGGAATGGGAGGTGTGTGTGGCAGAGATCAAGTCAAAAGATTCTGGAGTCAGTTGTGGGACACGAGATGAATGTGATCCTTAGTTTGAGGGGGAGAATGTGAGATATCAAACTAAGTCCCACATTGGAGAATTAGACAATGAGTGTCTAATATATAAAGAGAAGTCCAACTCTAATAGTACGAGGCCTTTTGGGAAGAAAACCAAAAGTAAATCCATGCGGGCTTGTCAATTAGGCCCAAAATGAACAATATCGTACTAATAAGAAAAAATAGAGTTGGACATGGGCTTTCACAATTCCAACATTCCACCTAATGTTCTGTTTTGTGTGAAGCAGGGCTGGTAGAACCATCCTCTCTCACAACAATCTAACATCGGTTCAAACCCAATCTTAGGGAGCCTTCTTTTCGTCTCGATCGTTTTGGGCAGACACGCACACTGCGAGAAATTCAGAGCAAGCCCTGGTTTTCCAATACTTGAGAAACACACAAAACCATTGTTTTCTTACGCTTCTCCATGTGGTGTAACTGATACTTTTTGTTGCTCAAACATTTCTCATTCCTCTTTTTTGTTTATGTAACTCTTTAACCAACCCTTCTTTCTCCTGTTTCAGTTTCTCAATCTGACTAATCATTATCTGGCGTTCTGAATCAGTCAATGTGTTCTGCTGAGCTTAGAGATTCGGTAGTGATTGGCTGTGAACAGGTTTGCATCTCAGAAATTTCTTCATAAGATGAGGTTGACCTCCCACAAAATCAACTTTTCTAAAATCCTACAAACAGAAAGGCAATTCGATGTGATTAGAGAATACAACAATGTTCTGGTGATTTGTAAAGGCAATTCGATACGATCGATTAAGCTCAGGTTTTAGGTTAGAAATCTTCATAAGATATTTCGAGAAAATCATTACGTTGTTTTGTTAATTCTAAGGATTTGGATACATTTAATACACTTTTTAATTAGAGGCAGTCTAACTTAAGAAAAGCTCTAATGGTTTAACAGATTAGATATGAAATATGGTTTTATATTTAGTCACAACATATTTAATAGGCGCAAAAAAAAACATGCCACAGTAACTTCAAATAGGACTCTAATTTAATAGAGTAGATAGAGTAGAAGCACCGTCTAGACCTATTTTTTTTAAACTTCATTTAAAAACTCATTTAGCTTATAACAGATTTTTCGAACACTATTCTGTTCAAACACTGAGGGGGATTACTTTTCCACCAAGGAACTCAGTTACTCTTCAGGGGGGGCTTCGAACTACAAACCACTTAGTTACCAAAACATCCTAGCACTAGCATAACCTAAACACAAGTATCTTACCACTTCCATTGGTTAGAACTTTGAAGGGGTTCTTAAAATTAATTTAATTGTTAATTTTGTATTTTTTGAAGTTTAGAACCCCTAATATTGTAACTAGTTTTGATAAGGTCCACTGGGAGAACCCATATGAAGTTATTAAATTTTCTTTTTTTTTAGAAATTGAATTATTAAATTGAAATTTTACAAAACTTACAAACTATTGAATTTCATAAAATTTAAACAAAAACAACATAAAAACATATTAAAAGTAAAGACACAACCAAATCAACATAAAAACGCATAAACAAAAAAAAATCGATTATTTGTAATCTTGATTTGTACCAATTTTTTTTTCATATTCTCAACCAAATCAGCTTCTTGATGATCACCATGATCAATGAGAAGATTTTCGAATTGTTGATCAAAAAAATTGATCGTATTTTTCATGCATCATTTCTTCAATATTATTATAATGATCTTCATTATTATTAGAAGATGCCATTTAAGAAAGTGAGAAACAAGAAATGTGAATTTGAAAAAATATATGTGGTAAACTGAAATTATTTGAGAATATGTGGTAAAAAAGGAAATAAGATAGAAGCTTTATGTTTGTGTTTTTTGAATAACATAGAAGCAAAAGAAATCATGTTAACTAAGAACGACACAAGCCTTATAAAAAAGGGAAACACCAGTCTTGGTCTCTGTTTCGTCGACATGCTTTCTCTTTTGGATTCTTCTGCCAGCAAGGAAACTTGCAAGATCACAAAGACAAACAGTTGAAACATAAGCTCAGCAACAAGATCACAAGACAAACTTAACACTTGCCAGCCTATCAAAACAAACAAAGATCACTTACCAATTCTCATAGCTGCTTCTTCTAACGCTCAAGTTCTTTGTCAAAAGACAAATTGTTTCTTCTTGGCAAATATATTTGCCACCAAGGAAACCTGCAAGATCTCAAGTTCTTTGTCACTATCAGATATTTTTTGAGGCGACAAGTGCAATGTCTCAGTCAAGCTGAGTGGTATGCTGTCGTCGATAGATTTTTCAAGAGCCTGATTCACTATAGTCATGGAGAAGTTTGCTAGCCTTCTCTATCCAATAGTAATAGATTGAGAACTAGCAGCTTCCATTAATGTTGGATGGAATAAAAATCAGGTTTATTGGTAGTCTACTGTCAAAATATTTTTTTTTCGGTCGTTTAAATCATCTAATTATTACAAACAAAAACTACTATATTTTTACTATTTTCATTTTTTATGAATTTTCATAACTCATCATAATAATGATAATATCTAGACCTACCAGAAAGTCTGGGTGGATCTAATATACAAGTATTTGGATTTGTACAGGAAAGATTAAACAAAAGGATCAATGGATGGACATTTAGGTTTTTTACGAAGGAATGAAAAGAAGTAATCATTAAATCGGTGGTTACGGCGTTACCAAATCATGTGATGTCCTACTATAGGTTACCTAAGAAAATCATAAAGAAACTAACGAGCGCAGTAGCACAATTTTGGTGGAGCCTTGGGGGCAGCACAAGAGGAATGCATTGGGAATCATAGGATAATTATGCATAGATAAGGATGAAGGAGGTTTGGGTTTTAAGGACCTCGAAGATTTCAACACGGCAATGCTAGGCAAACAGCTATGGCGCCTTATTGAGAAACCACATAACTTATTTTCTTGTGTTTTAAAGGTCGGTACTATAGGAATGTGTCACCTCTAGATCGATCCGATCATATTCTCCGTCATATGACTGAAGGAGTATGATCTCAGCTAGATCTCTGGTTAGCAAAAGACTTAT